ATGGTGTAGAGTGTCCCAGTTGGGCGGGGGGTTGGACTAGATGACCTAAAAGGTCCCTTCCAACTGTGATTATCTGTTATCTGTTAACAGGGAAGGAACTATCATTTCCATGAGGGTAAGCTATTGTGGAAGTGGGGAACAATAAACAGAATGCTCAATTCCAAGTGCCCACCCAGTTTATTTCCTGATGAGTGGGGACACACAATGTCTTCTGTGCTAGATTGCATTGGGTGGAAAATCTTGGTTGGAATTGATGATCTCAAAGATAGACACATCCCATCCATGTATTATATATAGGTCCCAAGAAACATATCTGAACTCTACTTAGAAGCTAGCCCACAGTCAATGCAGTTCAAGGGTCTTGCAGGTCAGGTGGGCAGCTGCATTTTGTACCAACTATAGCTTCTGGGGTTTTTTTAAGGGCAAATTCATGTAGTCCCACTGAAAAAAAGATATGGACATGGATGAGTATTATTATTGTCTCTCACCCTCAAAAAGGTAGCTGTTGGCACACTACCCAAACCTGGGCAAAAGTTTTGCTTTCATTAGTCTTCCAAATCAACAGCCATTCTTTCTGTCAGGCTTAAGCCCCAGCTTATTTCTCTCAAAACAGATTCTCACAATTTTCCTCCAAATTTCCACTGCAACTTCTGCTGAGCAAGCCATGGAGATGTGCAACTAATATCATCAGCAAACTGATTCTTCTAGTGATTTCATGAGGGAGATGACTGAGCCCTATATTATAGAACCAGGGACTATGTAATTGTCATGCTCCATTCAAATGTATTTGCCTGCTCAGGAAAGAAGGAACCATTGCCAGCAGCCCAGCAGGATATATAACTTCCATGGTAAAGATACAAGATTAAACACACACACACACACACACACACACACAGACAGACAGACAGACAGACAGACAGACAGACAGACAGACAGAGGGGGAGGGAGGGAGGATAGGGCTACAACTTAGCTAGAGGCATCAATGAAATTGAACTGTATGGATCAAATTAACTGATTCAATGTAAAACTACTTCTGATATTTCCAGGAAATCAAAAATAAAGGTGAATACTTATTCCATTCAGAGTCTCCTGCATAAACAGATAAATAAATCCTATCTTATAAACTTATAAATAAATATTTTATTTTCACTAAACTCCCAAATTACCCCGGAAAAAAGCTCAGAAAACTACAGAAAGAAAAGGGAATGATTTTTCAAGTTGGTGGGGGATGACGTGGGGATAGATTCAGAGGTGGTATTTGGCAGGTTCTGACCAGTTCTGGAGAACTGGTACAGGAAATTTTGAGTAGTTCAGAGAACCGGCAAATACTACCTCTGACTGGAGATTTTACAGTATCCTTCCCCTGCCATACCCACCAAGCCATGCCCACAGAACCGGTAGTAAAAAAAAATTAATCCCACCATTTGACTGGTGAACCACCTTCCTTTCACCACCAGGAGTGTTTTTTGATTGAAAACACACAAATACATACAACCCTGTGAATGTAGGATCCAAGCCACTGTGCCTATCATAAAACAAGATGTCAGATTAACTCCAGATGTTACAATTCAGAGTAACTAAACTGCTAATTCTGATGGACTGTAAATCTCTACATACTTATTTTGAAAAAAAAAAAAAAAACAACGTCCCAGATGTGTCCATAGGATTACAACTCTCATTTCAAAAATAATTTCTATCCTCTCAACAAAGGATAAGGTATACATAACACCTTGTAAAAGCAGGCCATAGCTCTTTCAATGCAGATCTTACAGTGTTGAATAATAATTACTTAGATTAATTATTTCAGCATCACTTGGGAGGCAGACTGTTACAGGCATGGGCCTTTCAGCAAATGTTTGACCAATGTTGCTATTACAGTTCACCAATCACCAGATAAATGCACAAAAGGTTCACATATCATTGACTCAATAATATACTAATTTATATAGAACACTTAGCCATAGAAAAAGTAGCAATAGGAATCTAAGGGGGAAATTAGTATGTAATACTTGGAATTGCTGGTTTTTAAGAAAAACTAAAAGTTGGGCTTTAAAAATTGGTTTTAATTAATTTAGAGCAGCTGGAGAAGTTAATGGAAAAAGAAGGTAAAGATTAATAGCACTTTTCTAAAAGACCAATTGTAAACAATTCTGGAGGGAGGGAGGAGGAGCAGGAATTGAAAACAGTAAAAGATGTAGCTACATAAAAAATGATAAGTGAAAAATAAAAAGTGTGCATAGAAAGCACATAGAAAATGAATAGAGATCCCCATCAGAAAAGATATGGCATAGTCAGCCCAAAATTCTAGTTAGTGTCAGGAAAGCAAGCTCAGAATGAGTCAAGATTAACAAAAGATGCTAAAACAATAATTTCTTTAGATACATTCAAAATAAAAGGGAAATAACGAAGGACAAATTCTAATGTGGTCCAGCAGGAAATTGTGAAAAATAGGATAAAGAGTGAAATTTGAGAGTGATAGAAACATCATTCGGAATACCTGTTTATTCTGAATGAGTTTAAATCTCCAGGCCTAGAAGAATTGTATTTTAAGTCTGTGAAATAACTTCTGACGCCCTGAATGATTATATTATTATTATTATTATTATTATTATTATTATTATTATTATTATTATTATTATTATTATTATTATTAAGAAATCTTGATGAATTGGTGAAGTGCCAAAGAGAACAAATGTTGCCCATACTTTCAAAAAAGAGGAAAAGAAAGACTCAGCAATTTGCAGTCTAATGAGGCTGACATCATTTTGGGGGGAATATTCTAAGTAATTCATACAGAGACCAATCTGTAAGAACATTGAACAAATGCAGTAATTACCAGGAATCAGAATGAATTTATCAAAAACAAATCTTACAAGACTATTTTAACCTCATTTTTCTACCACATTTCCTCTCTTCCCCTCTTTCTCAGTCCTCACCTTCTTTTAAAATAAAAACAGAAAAAGAGAAAAAACAAAAGGAGCAAAATACAATCATTATTTAAAAAGTGCTTAAAAAAATAAGTGAAAAAGTACAACAGAAAAAAAATTAAAATTCAGAGTATAATTTGTCAACAGGAAACAGTTATAATTATATGCAATACAAAACAGTACAAAAGTATTTAATACATAGATCATGCAGATGTGTCTCTTCCTTTGTAATGTGAGCTTTGTGTTCAGATGTTGAGCACTACACCCTAGATCTTCAATAAAGATATTTATTTATAGAACACCAAATGATGAATATAAATACAATAAATATATCAAATTCATGCTTTGCTCTAGCTTGAAATACTGTATATTGATTCTTCTGATCTTGGAATTCTGTCTATGATGCTTCATGGCCTGAACCTCTGTTCCTGCCTCTCTTCCTTCTCCTTGTCTCTCCAAAGTGCCTGAGAGCAGGATTAAGAAATAACAGATGGAGACTTATCAAAAGGAGGTCCAATCTAGAATTAAGGAGAAATTTCCAGTCAGTGAGAACAATTAATCAGTGGAACAGCTTGCCTCCAAATATTGTGGGTCTCCATCACTGGAGATTGGATCAAGGGATTGGACTAGAGGATCTCCAAGTTCCCTTCCAACACATTTTCTGTTAGGAACTGCTGTTTTTTTTTTATCCTTGGCAACATATTAGCCAGTCCTTAACAGCAGTATAGAGTTTAGGACAGTGGTGGCTAACCTTTTGGGGCTCCTGTGCCAAAAATTGTGCGTGCACTTGTGTGCCAGCACCCAGAAGGCAATGCACACCCCCTATGCATTGGTATTTCCGGAAAAACAGGAAGTGATGAAGCGGGCCTAGTTTTTGGCCTGCAGAAGTCTTCCTCAAGCCTCCGGGAGGGTGAAAATGGCCTCAAACTGGCTGAAAATCAGCTGTGAGGTGTGCACATGCGCAGTGAGGTAAGTTTGCCAGCAGCTTGCGTGCCAGCACAAATGGCTCTGTGTGCCACCTGTGGCACACGTGCCATAGGTTCGCCATCACGGTTTAGGAGAAGAAGTTATAGTTGCTTTGATGGTGCTACAGCAGTAAACATCTTTTTTATTTGCAATCAAATTCACACATATAAACATCCATTTGTTTGTAGGTGCCCATCATTCATAAGACAATCTAAGCATCATAGTTCTCTAATTCAGACAATGCATCTTCAGAACATGATAGGGGAGATTGTTACAACCAGTTCAGTGTTCCTGATTATGAAAATGTTTTATCTTCTTTTTCTGAATGTGATTAGGAATTGATGTTTTGGGTCAATTATATTGTAAAAGGGATCTACAGCACAGCAGTACCCACTATGACCTTGTCCTATCTGGGTTTAGGTCATATATCCATAGCAAAATCAGTCTCTCTCTCTCTCTCTCTCCCCCTCCCTCCCTCCCTCCCTGGCTCCTTCTCTCTTTCTCTCTCAATCCTGCCTTTTAAAATATATTTTTGTCAACTCATGGCAGTGAACATGTCTCATATTCTTATAAGCACCATCTTATTTTTGGGTAGAAGTAGAAAATAACATGCTTGCTTTATCCTGGCAGATGTCAGAAGAGGAGAAAGTATCTATTTTGTTACCTGTGTAAAAGTAGAACCAGATCTTTCACTTATATGCTACTTACAAATATATTTACTTTCTGGACCTTAGATTTAAAATTATCACAGTTCTGGAAATACTCAGGAAATACTCTGTCCTTTGAATGGAGAGTAAGAGGAAAGCTTCCATTTGGCTCAGGAACTGGTATTTTAAACTCTTGATGAATACCATATGGCTTGGAAGGCTCTGGATGTAAGATATTTGGATAAGAAATTTGGAGGCAGGCTCCTACTATGTAATATTTTTGCAATATTTATTCTTGACTTCACTCACTTTTATTTCTTTATAACTGTAAAAACTTCAAGGAACAGCAGTAGTGAAACATTTGTTTTAATTTTCAGATTGATCAAAGCAACAAAAGAAACCCAACAGTTCACCAGACAAGATTGAACTCTGAAGACTTTTTGGGGGTCATTTTTCATCGAATTTGAGTCAAAGGATGTGTCTGGTAGACAGAAGCACAAACAGGAATTCTACAGAGGTTCAACCTGTCCTAGGAGTATTCTTGGGAACCATCTCACTGATTACAGTGGTTATGAATATTTTGGTCCTATATGCAGTGAAAACAGAAAAGAAACTACAGACAGTTGGGAATCTTTATATTGTCAGTCTTTCATGTGCAGATGTGATAGTTGGTGCAGCTGTGATGCCACTAAACATTGTATACTTGTTGAAGGATAAGTGGATTTTGACTAGAAAAGCTTGCCTGTTTTGGCTTTCAATGGATTATGTAGCCAGCACAGCTTCTATATTCAGCCTTTTCATACTCTGTGTAGATCGCTACCGTTCAGTCCAACAGCCTTTAAAATATCTCAAGTACAGAACCAAAACTAGAGCCTCAGTCATGATTTCAACAGCTTGGCTGCTGTCCTTCCTGTGGGTGATTCCCATACTTGGCTGGCGAAAATTCACAGATCACAGTAATATGACAATTCATAACAGAACTTACAATGAAAATGTATGTGAAACAGATTTTTGTAGAACCACATGGTTTAAAGTCTTGACAGCCACAATCAACTTCTATGTGCCGTCGTTGCTGATGCTGTGGTTCTATGCAAACATTTACAGGGCTGTCTGTAAGCATTTTCAGCATCGGCAGCTCATAAATGGATCATACAGAGGTAACTCTAACAACATGAGTGTGCATGATGGAAAGATTCAGGAAATGCAAAAGATTTGTTCCCAAAGCTCCAATAAAGACAGAGGATTTTCTTTCAGTGCAAATGAGCAAAACAAAATGAGGGAAGCTAACCTTCCATTAAGCAGCTTTGTTAAAATCTCGAAGGATTTTCCTAAAGGAAGTGACCATGAAGTAATAAAGCTTAGCTGTTTCCCTCTAGCTATAATGCAGAAAGATTTTGAGTTAGGCAATACAAAGGAAAAATATGCCTGTGTCAGTAACAGTACTGAAAATATAAAAAACCCTATCTCCCAGTTAGGCAAAATATCACATAGGCAGAGTTTTGCAGGAGGATCATTGCCTACAATTCACTCAGATCCATCCCTAGAGCAACGTTCTTATACTGAGCAACATTTTCCTCAGACATACTCTAACAGAAGAGATCCTCTCAGTCTCTGTTACCTGAAAGAGACTTGGGGAAACCTACGTACTCAGTCTGTTTTCCGGAGTCAAAAGCTGCACATGAACAGGGACAGAAAGGCTGCCAAACAGTTAGGTGTCATAATGGCGGTTTTTATGCTATGTTGGATACCATATTTTGTATTGTTTATGGTCATGGCCTTTTGTGAAATATGTTACAACCGTCCTTTTCACATGTTTACGATTTGGCTTGGCTATGTGAATTCTACATTAAACCCATTTATATACCCACTCTGTAATGAAAACTTCAAAAAGGCTTTCAAAAAGATATTTCATATTAAAACTTAACTTATTGCAGAAAAATATATATATTGGGGACAGATCAGCAGGTTTATGTTGGAAGGAAGAAATCTGTGTTATTTAAATCTTGTAAAAAAAAAGTAAACAATGGTTTATGTGTCTTAAAAGAGCTTTTTTTCCTGTTTCTAGTGGTTTGTGGTCTTTTTAACAGTAGATTTTATAGTTTAAAAGAAATTTGAGCTAAAATGAAATATATTACTATTTAACATGTTTTTTAAATGCTAACTTTTATATCTGATCATTCTAATCAGTGTTTAATTTACCACAGCCACTTTTTCAAATGTGTATATATATTGTGTTATAGTAGTCTTTGTGTTCCTGAAACTTCAGGGGTTTCAAAAGAGCATTTATTTCTAATTTGACTTTTCTCCAGAAAAACAATTCACCATAAATTTAAACTGTTTAATAATATTTTGGTTTTATTTACCAACAGCTTGGAAACTGATAGCAGACATCCTAGTGTCAGGAAATTCATTGTCCCTTTGTTATCAAAGAGAGGCAATCTTGTTCATGTATATTTTCAGTTCAGCTCTGATTTATGGTAAAGACAAAATCTCATTCCGGCTCCACTTTTGGTTGCTTCATGCATATGCATGCCATTTTCTGTGCAATAATACAGGACCAGTTTGCCAAAGTATTTTGGTGTTTTTTTTAACCTCTAGACAGAGGTGGTATTCAGCAAGTTCTGACCAGTTCTGGAGAACCAGTAGCGGAAATTTTGAGTTAGTTCGGAGAGCCGGCAAATACCACCTCTGACTGGCCCCGCCCCCATCTATTCTCTACCTCCCGAGTCCCAGCTGATTGGCTGGGTCTTCTTTTGTTGCCTTGCACAGGAGAACGGAGCTGGAAAGCAGGTTAGTGGGGTAGGGAGGGAAAGGGGATTTTGCAGTAACCTTCCCCTGCCATGCCCACAAAGGCACACCCACAGAACCAGTAGTAAAAAAATTTGAATCCCACTGTTGCTCTAGACCTGCTATTTTCTGATACAGGTAGTCCTCGACTTACAACCAAAACTGAGCCCAAAATTTTTGTTGCTAAGTGAGGCATTTGTTAAGTGAGTTTGCCCCATTTTATGACCCTTCTTGCCAATTGTTAAGGGAATCACTATAGTTAAGTTAGTGACATGGTTGTTAATGAATCTGGCTTCCCCATTTGACTTTGCTTGTCAGAAGGCTGCAAAAAGTGATCACATGACTCCAGGACATGGCCACCATCATAAATTCAACTCCATTGCAAAGTGTCTGAATTTTGAACACATGACCATGGGGATGCTGCAACAGTCACAAGTGTGAAAAATGGTCATAAGCTACTTTTTTCTGCACTGTTGTAACTTCAAATGGTCACTAAACGAATTGTTGTAGTTTGAGAACTGTTGTCTGCTTGACCAATGCTAATTATGAACAATAATTAGCTTTTAGAAAAACAATGAGAACAATAGCTTTTTCGAGATCAACCAAGCAAGATGCTGCCTATCCTTTTACTTTGCCTCCCAAGAAGCTTCCATTGTTCCTTCTAAATATTGAGCCTCTTCAAGGGAATCCAAGAGGTCCTCCTATTTTTAAAAAATTCACCAGCTTTTCTGAGCTATTAATGATGCATTTTGCCTGACTAAAACAAACAACCCAAATGACAGGCTTGCTCTGGCACAAAATAGAACGGAATCTTTGCTCGACTTTCTCTCCCAGGATGCACTGGGGAATATTTTTCTCTCTTCATTTGTGATTTGGCCATTTTGGAACTCAGTATTTTTTTTTAATTGCCTCCCCCTCCTTCAATTTGAATTTTATTCTCTTCAGTTCAGTGTTCAGAAAATTATCATGCTGAAAAAAATAGATAAATTTTCCCAAAGAAATAATAAAAAGCTAGTAGTCAGCACTCACAACAGTGTTTAATTTGTTTGAATAAGATCTACAACAACATACTTTTGTGTCTTGGGATGAGATGTCTGTCTTTAGAAAATCCATATAATAGCATATTCCTGAAAGAGTTGGATACCCTTTGTTCTGGGTCATGAGCATTTCTCATATATTATAAAACTAGTGGAATGTGTACCATAAATGGTTATGTCTGAAAAGCTCTTTTTTGTTCTTTTTACATATAATTATGCACACATAAAACATAATTCTTTATCAGTTAGAAATTTGAAAATCTGATTCCCAAACTGAATTTCAATATTTGTGAAAGGAAGTCTAACATTTAATAAGAACAATTTTCAATAAACTTTAAAAAAACCCAGTATAATTAATAAATATTTAATTTAACATTAACTTCCTGCATCTTTTTGCAAATATCATGATATATTTTCCATGTATTAGAGAAGCTTTTTAAAAGAAAGACTTTAAGTCTTCCAAAATCTCAGATAACTTAATAATACTTAATATTGGTGAAAACCAGTATGAACCATTGGCAGGTTGGAAAACATTTGCTTGAAATGTATATTAAGCTCCATGAGATATGAGTTCCTATTTTTCAGGATATCAATTTAAGGCAAAGAATAATTATATATTCGTGAAAATGGTATCATATGCCATTGCCTTATATTTGTTTTTCTAATGCTACCACCTTCCAAAGAGCTGATAAATAAAAATAATAAATTTATGGTTTTTCACTGCATCCATTATTTTATGATGCTCTAAACCAGGGCTGTCAAACTCACAGTCTGCGGGCTGGAGGCATCACGCACTGCCCACACCCACGCCCGGTTTAGTGAAGGGGAAAAAAGTCCCGATATGTCACATGATGCTGCCATGACGACTTGAGCTTGACACTCCTGTTCTAAACTCTAAACTGTTTTTACTGATAAAATAGTATCAGATGGCAGAGAAAGGAAACAAAAGTCCTTTCTCAAATTTGCTGTCATTCTCGAGAGAGAAATCATTCTTGAGCCTAGTTTGGTTTTAATTCTTGATATTTTATTGGCAAATGTAGTGTTTTATTATTTCCTCTTATTAATTTCCTCTTATTTTCCTTTTAAGTAGGGATGTGTCTAAAATTGTGTTTTGTTGTAACTCAAAGCAAATGCTTTGTGTTCTGGAAGTTCATCAATCTATTCTGGATGAATCACAATTTGGCAGAAATAAAACTTGGATCATTTTTATTGCACTGGATTTCTGCTGAAACAGAAATTGCAGGAATGCGTGAGTGGGTTTATGGGATAAGCAGGATAAAATTGGCTCACGCTGTCCTCTCAACAGTTCCCAGTGTACCAGATTTTACCACCCTGATCTTCTCAGCGCTTTGTCTTGCCTTTCCTCCCTCATTTGCTCTCAGCTACCACCAACATCCAAGCGTGTGTGCATGTATGTGTACATATACATACATGCATACGTGTGTGTGTGTTCCGAGTCTGGCCTAGGCTTCCCTAACAGCAAGAAGCCGACTTCTCGTCCCAATAAACCCCTTTTATTTAGTTTACAGTGAATTCCTCTCCAGCAAAGTCCCGGCCAACAGTCTTTCAAGATATTTCACAATTACAGACTTTAATCAGATTTGGAGAGGCTGGTATCTTTCAGAGGCCACACTGTAGCAGACAATACTAGGCAAGAAGACAGGAACAGATCTTCAAAGAAACTAATTGTCTCTTGCAAAACCTCACTCCCCTTTCACTCCTCTTTTATACCCTATGGGAGGGGCCATTCATTGTCCACCTGTGGCTTTACTCCGCAGTCGACCCTTGTTCCTTAGCTGTTCCCTTCTTCTGGCAGCTCTGTGTATGCACACACTGGGAACAGGCTCCAGATGTCCTTCTGCCTCACTGATGTCCGACTCCAAAGGCAGCTGATAACTGTCAGACGGCCCTGGCCCCATCTCTGCTCCGATGCAGAGCACTGGTCAGAGCTTTCCCTAGACTCCAGGACTGGTCCATGTTCCTCCCCAACCTAATTGTCCGAATCTGGCTGCTGGCGAGCCACAACAATATGTATGTACATACATACACACACACACACACAAATCCTTATAAACTCTTAGCCTACCAGGATGTTAATTCTTTTACGGTCACAGTAAAGTTTATAAACAAACCAATCTTAAATCATCATACTATTTAGAGGCACACTTTACACGCTTATTCGTCCAAGAGGTCTTGTCAGCACTATGTATACCTGTTGGGAAAAGACCTTAAACTCAGAGAAAATAGAGGTGTCTTTAGTCATTCAGAAACAGGACTTGGGGGGATGAAGTCCATCCTAGTTGGAATAATAATTCACTTATCTGAAAGGAGAGATCTGCAACTTGGGGTGCTCCCAAATCCTTATTTTTACTGGATCCAGAGTATATGAAATCTTTGAAGAATAACATTAACAGCTAAGTACCACTTGTGACTCTTCCTGAGCTGGATGAATTTGACAAGTTCCTCACATTTTAGATAGGTGCCATCTTTATTCCTAAAATTTTGAAAAATGTATAGAATGTCTCGAGTAAAAAGGTTGATACAGTTCAGTATTACTATTTACTAGGAATTGATTACACAGCTACCTTATTTTAAAGCTGTAAATGGCTTGCAGGCTACCTGAACCATTAAGGTTTATATTTTTGTTGCTATTGGGTTCTGATGGAGAAATCTTTCTAAGGGCGCACTACTGACCCAACTTGTTCCCACCTGATAAAATGCAGAGTTCACCTCTTGCCAGATGTGGCATTTAGAAAAAAGAAGAAACTAAATTTTTTATTAGGCCTTTAACTGCTAAGCAATTTTAGTTTGAATTTTAATTTGTTTTTAAGTTTTTTACAGTCAATTTTGTAAAAATGTGGGCTAGAAAATGAGTCAAATAAAAATATTAACTTACTGCTCCTCTTTCTTGTTTCAAACTATCTCATCTAATGAAGCAATCAAAAGTGCCTAAATTTCAAATTTTCTAAAATAGAAAATTTAGAATGTATATGGATAAATGGCCGGTGTATACAACCATAATCATTTAAAAAAGGGGGAAAGTCACACATTCATTATATAATATGGTATAATCATGATTTAATCACAATTAAATCCAAGCAATGTCCTGAGCACAACCCAACAATGAAGATCCTCAGCTCTCCCATTGCTTAACTGACAAGATATTAAATTCAATAAGTGCTGAAAACAAAGGCCAAATATGTTAGTGAAAGAGTTAAGGACATAATAACTAAAGGAAAACCCCTGTAGTGCCCCCCCTTCCCTTGGTGTCTTAACCATGTACTCATTAGTGGTTAATCCAGGACTAAGTATAATGTATAATAATCATGGTTAATTTACAAGCAAATTTGAATGGTATGAAGCTATAACTAATTTCTTAAAAAGTCAGAACTGATAAAATCAAAAACAGATGTAGAATGTCATAAATGAAATGTTTCTAAGTCAATGGAATGTATGATCTGTCTTTTGAATATTTTAACATATTAATACGATTGTGTATAAAAGCAATTGTAAGGTTGAAACCATTAAAAGAATGTTAAAATATGCCTGACACATGACCTTGACTATGTTCAAAATGGTCTTGCTGCATTCATGAGAAAGCAAATAGATGTTATAACCCCTAACCCTGATTAACACCTTATTCCTAAAATTGCCAGGTTCACAAAATTTGATTATAAGGATGA